TAACTGAGGAGTATCATGTATTACATATTTTGATTGTTAAGACTTTCCTTTTTATTATTTCCTGTTAAACTTTTTGTGTAATTTTCTCTGCTATTAGTAATTCACCACACCATCTAATAGCTTCGCCACCCCGTTTTCTGTAATGTCAGTTACATCAGATGATTTCTGTTAACTTTATTTTTGCCATTTTTGTGTATTCCCAGCTGTGTTGGTTGAACCCCCATTGTAGGGGTCCTCTTTGTGCCCTCACCAGAGTACAGTCTTTCTGTTGAGTGAGGATGGGATGGCTATCTAGCCCCGCGACTCAGGGAGAGCATCCAAGTATCCACCTGCTTCTCACAGGGTATTCAGCCAGATCCTCCCTGGCTTAGAAATATTTGGCTTTCCAGGATCTCTTTTGTCAATTGTTAGTCATTCATTTTCTTTTCTTCTTCCACATTCTATGCCTTTGGTCTTTCTTTTCTCTGTGTCCTTGTTGATTTATGTTTAAAAATAACAAAAGTAAAAAATACTCTTTTTCAACTTAGTATTAGGTAGGTTTTGGGGAGAGGAAGTGAGAATGAGTGAACTCATAGAAAATTATTAAAATGTAGCTTATATGAAACAAAAGAAATTAGGAGCATGTATAATAATATCACTGGAGCTAACTACCGATATCATTTTGGCATATGTCCTTTCAATCTTTGTGTACAAACTGGGCAGCTAGAAATTGGATTATGCCATAGATAGTGCTTTGTTAGCAAAATGCTATTTCACAAATGAATTCTCTAATGAATGTTGTGCATTCATTTCCTATTGTGGTCTATTGGCATTTTCAATCTATTTTTATACAATACCACACCAAAACAATTATTTGAACAAAGAAGGCATGTAATAACCACTCCTTAAAAAAATAAAACTGCTGTAGCTACCTTTATTGGAAGCTCCTGTGTTAATGTTCTGTGCCCTGGTGCTGGTTTCAGAAGACCTGTGTTTCATTTGTTGCATTCAGCCTGCAGGTGGCAGAATTGTTTTATCTGAACAGCAGTTGGAAAGGTCCAATTTATTTGATGAGTTCTGCGTTGGAATGAGAAGTGATCAAATGAGCAATCTCTCTCCCTATTAGAGAAGAAACAAATTAATGTAGGTTTAGGGAGCCACACTAAGAAAGTAATGGGAAATTTAGTACTTCATTTGGTCTGTCTTCATTTCTTGATTCTGTGTGCTAGCATTATGGGCTTATAAACGGGCTAGAGCATGACACTCAAGCTGTACCATATGGAAATTGCTGAATTTCCTTAATTACTTTAGTCAGAGTAATGGAGCTTAGATCTGCTTCATATTAACCACAAAGCAGTTTGTTCTGCATTTGCATTTTAAGATTTGCTTGTGTTAATTTTATTTTTAATCCAGAGGCTTTTTAGAATTCATGTGAAGATCATCAGTTTAAAGCTTTCAGAGAGTTTTGTTCTTAAGATAAAGGAAATACTTTAGAAAACAAGAGGTTAGAATTCGGCTCGTGTACTGTGTTTGAAATTAAAGTCAGAAGTGTGCCACGGAAGAATTGCAGAGCAGATTTGAAGCTGCCGCGGATGCAGTGACGAAGGTGTGCCCGTGTGGCCGATAGAGCAGGCAAAACGGCAGTGTGCTTGGCAAAGCAGTTGATTGTGTCAGTCTCTTTTTAGGCAAAAAAAGATGAATACAGTCCTAAGTGATTTGTTAGACCTTACTTTAAAAATTAGTATGTTTAAATAAAAACTACTTGAAATCTATACTACCCTTATAGTTTGAAACATTTCTACAAGCCAGTTAGGTCTAATTTGCTAGCTATAAAAAAAGGAGAACACTAAAATGACTACAAAAGGGTTCAGTTCTAACTAAATTTGAGTATTTTTGAGTCCTAATTAAAATACCGTAGAATAAGCAGTTAAGCAAAAACCACACTTCCTTTATTTCTTATCCATCGTTGTGCCCAGTAAGTAGGAGATAGAGTTGCTGCACATTTTTAAGCCTTCTCGATTTGACAGGAGAATGGTAGAATGTACTGCTTACCACAGAGAAGAGGGAGGCTGTGATTAATGTCTGATGACAATTAAATTGTGTTAGGTCTAGGTCAGAATGTCATTCCTGGGAGTCTAGAAAGGTCCACACTATCTTAGGATTTGACACAGCCATAAAAGGCAGGCATTAACTATGTACAGCCCTGTCACTCAGAGCTGATAGAATGATTCTGTAATTACTTCTCCATTGGAAAAACACATTTGGATAAGATGTAAATACTGTTCCAATCCAGGGAGGATATACTAGAGTGAAATGTTTCTACTGTCATTACATTAATAACAGTATAACTAAATTCTCATGTTTTGAAATGGTTTCTCTGACATGTAAGTCTGAGGATATATTGGTTAGAGCAATCAGAAAATATATTGCACATTTTATTCTTCATTATAAGCCAGTATAATCAATCAAGAAATAGTCCCAAATGATGGCATGTCCAAAATATTTTTGGTTTTTGTCACTTTTGTTTCTGAGTGAGGACAGTGATCTATTACAGAATTTTTATATTTCACTATCATTATTCAGAGAAGCAATTTCAGTTCATCCAGAAGGGTGACTTTATGAAGAATGGTTATATTCTTTTTATATTTAAAATAGGAAAAAATTTGAGCTTCTTGATGTGGTATTTTTGGGAAATAATGCAGACGTTTCATTATGTAGCACTTAATGTGAGGAATAATGGAAATGTGAAGATCTCTTAGGTGAAAGGTTATAATAGGCGATAGAATCATAAATATAAATTGTATCATGGCAACCAGAACGAAAGTATAAAAATATGGAAAAAGAGAGACTGTGTTGAAAAAATGGTAGTGTTTGTTGTAAATTAGAATCTGGATGTAGACTCGTTGAGGTCCTTTTATTTTGCTACATGTACCTGGAATGTAGTTTGGCATATAAGAAATATTATTTTGCATAATGCCAGGCTTGAACTTTTTGATAGAATAACAGATTGGAAGTTTTTATTAAGCAATGCTTTTCAAGGGACTGGCCTCTTAAAATGGTACTACTTGGAAGATAGCTTTGTTTTTATAATAAAAATCCGATTTGCCACCACGAACGTAGAACAATAAATACTGAGACTTGAACTGTACACTCTTTAGGTAATTTTATTTTCTTTATCAAGTCATGTAAAAATTGAAAAGAAGCACAACATAATGTAGGGGATTAGAATGCTCATTTTATAATTTCCAATTTATGATGAAATTATCTATGTAGCTTTCAGCATATTTTAAGAATTTCTGCAATTATGTGTAGTATTGCTGTGGCTTGTATTTGGAGGCACATCACTGATCTTGTGATATGTTTTGTGTGTGTGTGTTTGCTCTACTTCCTTAATTCCTAGTTCACTGAAGAATTTGGTGTTCTAGTGTTTTAGAAACAACAGTTGAAGTAGTGCATAGTAGTTTACATTATTTCCTACTGTTCTAATTTCTTAATGCGGCTATTTTTATCCATGAGGACTTACATACTAAAAAAAAAAAAATACAAAGGCTTTTCGAAGCTATGTCCTAGTTAAATTTGCCTTTCACCTGGAGGTAGCTTGGGAATTAAATTAAACTGTTGTGCTAGAGTTGTAGTGGATATGATTTGCATGATCTGTGTTCTCCAGTTTTAGGCAATATATGGTGTCTGTCTCTCCTTCTGTATTTCCAATATATCATGTATATTGTTATATATGTATAATGTTTATCTGTTATTCTGTCAAACAAGTTCAAGCCTGGCATTATGCAAAATAATATTTCTTAATCAAATACATATAAAGATTACCTATTCTCGTCCACATTTGTGGAATCTTTATTGTCAGTGGTAGAAGTGGTTTATTAATACAAGGGTTCTGTATGCACAAGGTAGGGAAAGTTCTTTTAGGGCTTTTGGTTAGCTGTGTAAGTTGATATGCTTTGCTGTGTTTGAATTTCTGAGAGAACAAGCTGTAAATAACTGGTGATTAATTGATAGTGCATATTTGTAAGGAACATGGAGAAGCAAAGCAACAGGGAAGTAGAGTACTACCGTGACAGGCAGACCTCATCAATAAAACTAGAATCTTCCTGTAGATGAAACAGGCTTCCTGATTTGGGATGTGGTTTAGGATCTATCATCATCAGAGCTACAGGAGTTGGGGCGTAGTTCTATTTTTCTAGCCTTCGCAGAATTTGGGGCCAATTGAAATAGCAAGAGATAGATGGAGATGACTAACAATCTTAATGCCGATGGTAACCTCGGCCTGGAGAATGTAGCGGAGACCCTTGACCTTCCACAGTTGAGTTTTCCAGAGCAGCCCCATGGTTCAGCTTTTGGCTTTTTAAGCAGACATGGAGAGTTCTTATGCAAAGCAAATACACACAGTGAGCCTTGGCAGTGGGAGCAGAGAGAGGTGGCCCCATGGATCTGCTTTTGAAATGCAGGTCCATTCCTGCCTTACACACAAGAGCTGAGAGCAAAGTGCGGGTTCTTCTCAAGTGCATTAGCAGGGAGATGGATTGGAACTGGAGCAATCAGGACTTGAACTTGTACCCATATGGGGTGCCAGCATCATAGGTGTCCCCTTAAACCACATTTTTCTTTTAAAATATAATTTCTTTCTTTCTTTCTTTCTTTCTTTCTTTCTTTCTTTCTTTCTTTCTTTCTTTCTTTCTTTCTTTCTCTTTCTTGTCTTGTCTTGTCTTGTCTTGTCTGTCTTTCTGTCTTTTGTAAGCACCTTGCTTGATAATTGCCTAGAGAACAGGGGAACTATGAAAGAAGAGTTGAATATATTCCAAAAAAGAATTGTATTAGAAACAAAGTTTAAGATTTTATGTTTCCATCCTGTTTACTAGACACTGAGTTTGCTAGTTGGGAATCTTTTAGACTTTGGAGTATCTTCTTTCTGTAATAGAATTTTATTTTATTTTACTTGGACATGTATTGATGCCTTGCAAGGTGCATTTTTGGGTTTGGTTAACCTTTCCCATTTTTTATTTCAGTTGATCCTATTAAGATACTAATGCCATCACTGTCTCCTACAATGGAAGAAGGGAACATCGTGAAATGGCTGAAAAAGGAAGGTGAGCAAGTACACCACCGGTGTTGGGAATGATGCATTTTACTTGACCATTTGATTGCTTTCCTTGGTTGTATTGTGTGATAAATGATATAAAAGAAAGAAGTGCTATTCCTTTGTTAGTTAATGTAAGCTTGTTTAGAAAATCAGTTTCCCACAGTAATGCAGTGGAGGGTTTGTGGGTTTAGTCTAGAATCTTCATAAGCACAGAATGGCAAAATTTTTAAGGCTTTTCTCCCAGATTTTAGTCCTTATGCCTGGCTTTTAGTTTTAACACACATAGATTTGTCAGCCCCCTTAATTTATAACTTTATCAAGATTTTTTGCATTTGTGTGTTTTCCTGGAACAAAACAAATTGATTGTAAATTTCATTGGAAAGAAGATACAAGTAAGACGAATAAGGAAAACTTGCATAAGAAGAATAAGGAAAACCTGCAAAAGAAGATGGGTAGCCATATTAGTTACTGAAACATATTATTAAGCCTCTGTAATTAAAGCTGTGGGGTGCATGTCTAAAAAGACAGACTAATTGAACGGAACAGAAAACGAGAACGTAGATGCAGTTGCATGTGGGTATTTAGTGTATAATGAAAGAAGACAATATTAGACTTATTCTTTATGTTATGCCAAGGATAAATTACAAATGAATCAGACACTTAATGTACAAAAATGAAATCATGTCAGTACTAAGGGGAAAATGTGAATTCTTCTGAACCTGAAAGTGGACTAAACACCCTAACTATAACTCAAAATCCAGATATAGTGACAGAAATATGGTTAAGTTTGATGATAAAAGTAGTGACTTTTGTATAGCTAAAAACATGATGTCAAGGATGGCAAATTTATGTGATTTGCAGTTTATCTCACAAAGAATTAATACCTAAAAAATACAGAGAACAAGACTATCAAAAAATATGAACAGATAGTTTATAGAGAAAGACTTGCTCGTAGTTCTTAAACAGAAAAAAATTCTTAACCTTTCTATTGGAAAGAAATACACAGATACACACTAGGATAATATATTTCTTACTGATCATATTGGCATAATGAAAACTTGACAAACTATTGTGTTGATGAGGCTACGGGGGGAAGCAGGCGCTCTCAGACATTGCTAGAGGAAATGCAAAATAATATAAGCCTTAGAGAAGAGAATTTGGCAATATCTAGAGAAGTTACATTTCTATTTGCCCTTTGGCCCAGCAAGTCTATTTCTGGGGATCTATGTCAGTGTTACACTGGAGAAAATAAGAAAGAATGTACACACAAGGCTGTTAGTGCTGGCTGTGTTTGTAATACAACCCAAACATTGGCCAGTACATGATTTGTTGAGTACTTTTACTACATTCACAACAGTGTTAAAGAATAAAGTGTGTATATATTGCTATGTAGTGATCTTCAGTGAAAAAAGCAGGGTAGGGAAAAGTGAGTACAATATGTAGTAGTCATCAGAGTAAGTGCTAATATTTAAAAATTTTGAAAGATAAACAAAAACTTACATACATACAAATGGTTATCTATAGAGTAATGGAGCCATGAGATGGAGAGGAGAGTGGATGCTAGAGTTTTCTGATAACATCTTGTTTTGCCTCTTTGACTATGTATTTTTCATAATTTAAAAACAATTATACTATGGAAGAGCTTTAAAAATTGAGACAGGTAACCCTCACTGTATATTGAGTTGCTGGCAAAACCATACAGAGAGGGACTATCTCAAGTGTTAGTAGATTTGACCATGTCCCTAACAGGTTATAACTGAAGGACAAAGCTTCTCCAAAAAGAAATCTTAAGCTGTCGGAGTAATCACAGTATCATGTTTATGTTGATATTGTCGTTCTGAGGGTTTTTTGTATATTTTTAAGATAAAGCAAATTAATAGTTAGGAGATCATTGAAAATTCAGACATTTGGTATGGTTTAAAGGAGAAACAGATACAAGATGGCTAAGGTTAAGGAAAGACACTGTGAGGGTAAATTTTGTAACTCTTTCTTCTGGTAATGCCTGGAAATAAGGCACAACCTAGAAGCAGTGAGCACCCCTAGAATCCAGACTGCGTCTCTAAGTACTAATTCCTACTAAAGTAAATGAGGGCCTCCTGGATAATAGCTATTTCCAGGTCGGGGGCAGAAAATGTACACATAAGCCTAGAATTTCTTGTCAGTTCCAAAAACAGGGACACTATTAAAAATTCATGAGATGCGCTGGCGTTATGATACAGGCATTTAACCCATGCCTGCGATGCCTGCATCCCATATCAGAGTGCCAGTTTGAGTTCCAGCTACTCTACTTCCGATCCAGCTCCTTGCTAATGCACCTGGGAAAGCAGTGGGGGTTGGCCCAATTGCTTGGCTACTGCCAAGCATTAGGAGATCCAGATGGTGTTCTAGGCCCTTGACTTTGGCCCAGCCCCTACCATCGCAACCATTTGGGAAGTGAACCAGTGGTTAGAAGAGCTCTCTCTTTGTCTTTTCCTCTCTCTTTCTGTAACTCTGCCTTTCAGATAAATAAATCAATCTTAAAGCAAAAAGAAAACAAGAAACCTCCTGAAGGCTTATTAAAGGACCCTGGGGCCAAAGGTGGGGCAGTTTGAGGATCAGTAAAGATAATTACTACAGTTTATTATAGTTTGGGGTGGGAGAGGAGGTAGTAGAGAAAGAGGAAAAGAAGTCAGAAGTTAGGTTCAGGTTTGAATGTGGTAAAATTTAAGATACTTATTAGACATTCAAAGGAAGATACTCAGTAGGCAGTTGGTTATAGGAGTTGAAGTTCAAGAGTGAAGTCCAGCTTAGAGATAGGAATTTGGGAGTCATCAGCATGTGGAATGAATTTAGTTTGACTTTAGGTCTGTGTGGAACAAGAGTGCCTTCTCCCTTGGAAATTTGCTCTCATACATCTTGTCTTCATAAGGCTTTGAGGTTCAGACTTATAGTACATATTTGCATTTTGTGGGAACCCCACAGATGGATGTAAAGTGGTCCTGGCCTAATAATTTCTCTGTGTTACTGACAGAAGCCATTATTCTGGAAGGACACAGCTGCTAATCTAAGCCATACAGGATTCCCATGTATAGTCCTGCTTACTGAGAGATCACAGTACCAAGTAACACACATGGAAGCAGTCTTTTTAGTGCAAAAGTCAGTAGGCATATTAAACAGCAGGACAAGACTTCTGGGAACCTGAGTTAATTGGAATTACTAGATACATAAAATTGTTTGACATGATTAAACGTGTGAGAGAAGGAATTGAAAATCTGAGAAAAGATATACACTATTCAAAAAGTCCAGACAGACTTGAGAAAGCCAAAAAAAATCTATTAATGAAAAACAAATCTAAATTTAAAAAAACAAAGAACCCAAGGTTGGATTAAGATATTATTAGACACAATTGAACACAATTGGACAAAGAGCTGAAGAAATTAGCTTGAGGGCCGGTGTTGTAGCTTAGCTGGTAAATTCACCACCTGCAATTCTGGTATCTCATATAGGTGCCGGTTCATATCCTGGCTGCTCCACTTCCCATTCAGCTTCCTGCTAATGGCCTGGGAAGAGCAGCCAAAGATGGCCCAAGCATGTGGGAGACCCAGAAGAAGCTCCTAGCTCTTGCCTTCAGCCCAACCCAGCACCAGGCTTTGCAGTTATCTGGGGAGTGAGCCAGTAGATGGAAGATCTCTCTCACTCTGTCTCTTCCTCTCTTCTTTATAATTCTGACTTTCGAGTAAATAAATAAATTTAGAAAAAAAAGAAATTAGCTTGTGTAGCAGAGAGAAAACCGTGGAAAACAGGAAAGAGAAGTTAAGACATGAAGAACAAAATAAGAATTATCTGCTAATCGAATAGGGATAATTCCCGAAGGAGAAAACAGGGAATGAGGAAGAGGTAATATTCAAAGAAAAAATGTCAGGGAATTTTCTAGAATTTAAAGAGCCATATAAATGAAAGAGCTAGTACTTTATTAGGAAGCACTTTGAGTGATGGGCTTTGGATGACTTCTGCTGTCCTTTAAAATAATTATCAGTACCTAAAAGAAGTTTCACTTTCATAAATATTGTAATTGATTGGGATCATTTTTAGATTTCCTTTCCCTGATGAATTACAGAGCTTTGGCTGTTTCCGTATTCAATTTGACAGGGTGTTAGTGTCATTGAATGATGAGTCAGGAACAGAACAGCCTTTTAGGGATTATTTTATAGATATCTTCACACTTTGCACATTGGTAGGTAAGCAGATAGGAGTGTTCCTTGAACCACATTTATCTTTCAGACTTGCAGCTCCCTGGCAGTCTGATGAGTCATTCACACCCATTAGAATGTGGACAGTATGATCAAGAGCCCGGAAGCATGCGATCTCATCATTCTCTTCTTTTACCTCTGATGTCCTGTTTTCGTGTGGGACCAGTCAGGATGTGTTCTAAGCCCCTGGAACATGTTTCCCTGAAGGTTACACATAGGGTCTGTGTTCTGTCAGCGGAGGAAGAGCTTTTGTTTGCCAATACATGAAATAATTGAGAGCGGCCCTTGGTTCCTAGTAAATTGCAAACGTAGTTTTTAAGCACATCACCTGTTTTACTTAATTGTATTCGGTGTGGTTTGCTCTTTCCATTAGCGTCTTTGTACTGTACACGTGGCTGTGACTGTAACGATGCTGGTAGTTGGCATATTTATGATACCTTGCTTCAGTCATTTTGGATTGAAAACAAATTTATATTCTAACAAGCAGTACTTTTTAATATGTCTTCTTTTATTAACTATGTCTTTATTAACTATGTCTTTTGTTTGATCTATGTTAATGTCTGGTTACAGTAAGTTTTGAATTTAAAATTATTTCCAGCTTTGTTGAAGTAATACATCTTTAACATGTAACTTTACAATGAGTTTATAATTTCAGTCTGAGGATTATTTTTAAAATGTACATCATAAAATTAGTAAAGAAAACACTTTGGAAGGGCTGGTTAACACCCATAATTCCATTAATTCTGGAAAGGTGAGTTGAGCTTTTCTACATCTTTAT